CTCCCTACGTGGAATCAACCTTCCCCTCCTCTCAACCTGTGCTTTTGATGACGGAGCAGCCCCTCCCGGCCAGATTTGAGGCCAACCCTGGACCTCCTTGGTACTGCTCACTATGTCAAATTCGCCTGGACCGCCACGACTGTTCTGTACGTTGCAGATCCTGCAATGGTTGGCATCATCTTCGTTGCAGTGACCTCGCCAACCCTGCCAATTGGTCGCTCACCTTCACGTGTCCCAGTTGTCCCGTGCCTCCACCTGCTCCTACGCCTCTAGCACTTCCTGTCTTCAACACAAATCCTCAAGTCTCCGACTTTTCCACACCGCCTGGTCTTAAGATTCTATAGTTCAACGCCAACGGCCTACTTGGCAAGCTCGACCAGCTCCTCGTCTTCATGCTTTCACACGGCATAGCTGTAGCGGCTGTCCAAGGGACAAAGTGGATAAACTCTATCCAGGTTCCTTCCTGTGCCGACTACACGATCGTCTGCCGCGACCGCGGTCGCAACAAAGGCGGAAGTTTGGCTTTTTGGTGGACAAATCCACTACTCACCATCAGCTCCTCCTGCTTGGTGCTGACCCCACGGAGGTATTGGCAATTTCCCTCGATGTTGTCCATTTATTTCACTTTATCCCTTGTCTTTTAAGGGGCCTTTGCTTTAATCTCCACTCTAACAAAAGGTGTTTTTTTTTCAACAGGCCTATTATACTCTCTCCATCGTGTTAACATGTTCATTTAAAGCTAAATAATTTTGCTGCATGTAACTGTCTTATCTATATATCGGTTGGCCTACTGCGTCCATTACTAACCGGTTTTCAGCCCCTTTTGTTTATTCGAACTAAAACAATGAGGTCACCTGCGCACGACGCTAGCATCATTCCGAAAAAAGTGCAATTTGCGACTCATTCAAGTAAAATTGGTCACAATGTTGACAATCGCAGCGTTCGGCCATTATGCATTGTTGGTGAACCCCTGGTGTTGTGTGTTTTGTGTGCCTACTTTTATTCATGGTGAATGGGGGACATTTTATCCGCAAAGTTTGGAAGTATATTTTCAAAATAAAGTGTTATAGCGCTAGCCAAGGCTGCGATATCGCCGCCTAACTACGTCTTGTGTGAGCCCCCAAGGTAAAAAACACGACAGGACACAAAAGCAGGAGTCTTTTTGCGTACCTACTACAACAAATTTAAGGTGAACAACGCATGTACAGCAATGCCCATCAGACCAATCAGATACTGCTCTGAAGTGAGTAGTGACACGATTGGTTTGTGACTCAGCGGCTGGCTTTTCCGATTCTTAGTCTGGCCACAGATTTAAATGTGAAATTATTGATTGATTGACTGCCAGTCTGCGGCCGCCGTCTGTAGACCGATCGATAACCTGCCGTGCGCGCGGCTCGCTGCCTGCTTGCGCCTACACATCAACTCTGTGGCCAGTTGATTCGATTAGAGTGAGCCCTAACATAAAGCTTATCTCTTGCTCTTTTATTCATTATCCATTTGACGCAGCGACGGATTGCAGTCTATAAACCGTAACGAAATTGATAGGTTCCAATAAATTCTGCTGTTAACGTCTGTTTTACAGCCATACCGGAAAAAAGCTTTAAACAGAATATGAACAGGCTAAGATGAAGACGTAAAACTAGTGAACAGACAGAATTAAATCTTAACTGCTGAGTCAACAGGAACGATACCTTCTCGAATTCCAGGCTAATCGGTCTCGGAAACTGGCTGGAGATATACTCGGCCGCCTCACGACCCAGTTCCATCGCCTCCGCCACGGTAGGGACGCCGAACTTACACATCACCGAGTCCGTGTCACCGTATATCACCTAAAAAAAAAGAGGGGGAGGGGAGAGAACCAAATGTTAGTGATCACAATGCGCGTGAACGACATAATGGCAGAGTGGAAAGAATGGGACCGCACTATGGAACGTGCTGCTTTAGTGAAGATCATTGTTGAAAAGGAATCTAAACAGGGGCTGGCACAAAGAAACAAGTCACAGGCGCATGAAAGTGATATTTAATATATTTTAACAAGAAGGAGGCGTACCGTGGCGTTGTGTTTGTAACCGTTCTCGACCGTATACTTTTCTTCAATCTTTTTTTCCGTCGAATCAAGTATTTCTCGACCGAATCCAGAAGCAGAAGCAGCTATTTCCAAGCAGAGTAATTTTCCGTTTTGGGCGCCGGTGAAACCATAGACGGAGTTGGCGCAAAGTTTCAGTGCCAACTGTCGACCATCAAGAACGCGCCGCTTGAAGGGATCCGTCTCGACGGCTAACTCCTGTTTGGCCCTAAAACCAGTCTACTTATAATTATTTTTAAATTAGTCTAACAGACACAACAGGGCCGCACATAGGTAAAAATCAATAGCAATGTAGTAATGACCAAAAGGGCTGAATTTGCTACCTATGTTAAACCAATCAGTTAGAGTAGTAGAAAAGTCATCAAGATCAATTAGAAAGATAAGTTGTACACGCGCCAGCGTACAGGTGGAACAATGGACTAGCTGACAGTGCGTTCACGGAGAATGAAGTTGAGAAGGTGAGAATCCAGCAGCTTACTTCGGTCCCCCTCCTCAAATTCTGGGAGAGGACTGCTCAAATGCAAACTTCCTGTCAGAAAAACCGGTAGTGAACGATGTTTGAAGTGGAACCGAGAAAGAAAGTAGTCAGGCGTCTGGATGTTCAGTTGTTTTTACAGTGAGTATGCAAGTTGTATAAGCGTGCGAGGCAACGCGCGGCAAATTTCTGCAAGTTTTGGTTAGAATAAAGTGTTGGGTTCAGCGGTCAAATGATTGGGTTACACAGATCTGTGTGATACGGGACCGAGTGTAATAAGCATTATGTGGGCGGGACTTATCAGGGGGAAGAAACATAAAAAAACTAAAAACAAAACGCTAAAAAAATACAACGAAGTATTTAGTTATGTATAGTAAAACAGGTACTGTTTATAAGGAATCTTGGTAGGAGTACCTCGTGGAGTCGCAGGAGGGTCCTTATGTATTATAACCACTTCATACAAATTTTAAGTAGGTTGAATTACCCATAAGCTTCTTGTATTCTGCACGCTAGCTGTCGACCCAGCAGGGATTGGATGATGACATAAAACTACGGAGGGATCCTCGGAAGGCCTCCGCATACAGCAACCGTTTAAGTCAGTATAGTAAGCAAAAATGACTTTTCCAATTAACCACGGGAATGATCGCCTACTTACAAATGTTAAGTAGGGTAAAATTCCACAATTTTCAACCTGTTTCATTCGTTCGCCTTTATTCTAGTTGGAGTTAGTGGAACTACTAGGAAATGTACCTCAGTAGCCTCGCTCGAGGTCGGAGCCCACTCACCCTGCGTACGCACGCTCACCGTTGGGGAGTTAGCGATGGTATTAAAGCGTACTTCAGTGTCCCCACCCGAGGTTTGAGTACGCGCCCCAACTTATGTCAGGATATTAGCCGGACCAAACGCTAGCAACGTTTAGAGGCTTTCCTAAGGCGTCGAGCCTAGCCAAATGTCTTTGTTGGTTAACTCTGACCGCATAACAGGTCATGACTGTTCACACGAGATGACCTAAGACCGCACGCACACGAGCCTACGCAAGGCACAACTGTTCGCTGTTTACTGAGGGTCAACTGGTCGCGTGACGTTATCCCAAT